CAATATAACAAAACGATAACGAATCTTATCGCGATCTAATCGAGCAATACTTCGTGCTTGGATGCGAGAAATCCATTAACCTGAAAACGAGAGCTATGATTGCGAGCATCTCGCGATAGATCGATTCTTATCACAGCCATTGAGTAATTAAACGTCAGGCAAGAGTGTTCGATATTCGTCGAAAAAAGCAAAGAGAGAGAGAGAGAGAGAGAGAGAGAGAGAGAGAGAGAGAGAGAGAGAGAGAAAGATAGAGAGAGAAAGGAAAAAAAAACGAGCACGAATTGAAGATTCACTCAAATACGTCAAACTTACTCGTTTTTCATAATTCTTTTTCGGCTATTTCTCCCGCAAGCAATAAACAACATTTGAATTTTATCACGAAGTTAGAATTTAATTAATAAAACAATTACTTTTTTGCGATATGCACAAAATTTTCTTCGTCGTTTTCATTCCATTTCTATCTATCTTTCTCTATTCATCTCTCTCTCTCTCTCTCTCTCTCTCTCTTTCTCTCTTTCATATATACGCATACATGATTAAATCAGTGTCTCCTGCACAGTTATGTCAACGATGAAATACTCCCTTCGTTGGGTCTTTGTGGCGGCCATGAAATTGTCGGTGTTACGTGGTTAGCCAATGGGTCTTTGCCAATGTGTCGCGCGTTACATGTCATTTTCCCGTAGAAACAGACAGAAAACGCATAATATGTTGTATCTTTCTTTCTCTCTTTCTCTCTATTTCTTTCAACAAGGGAAGTAATTAATTAGGCAACTGCAAGTGAAATTCTTCCTTACGATTTTAATAACTCCGTGACTTCTAATCAAAAGACATGTAACGTCAAGAAAGAAAGAAAGAAAGAGAGAGAGAGAGAGAAAGAGAGAGAGATAATTATAAGGAGATAAAAAAGAATAAAAACAAAAACAGAAAATATGTACACCTACAACAGTCGATATATTCAAGTTCGAGAAATGACCAGCTTATCCAGTAATGACCACCGAAGCGATTCGTTAAAAGTTCCTTTAATAAGAAAATGCGATAGAGCCGAACGTTTAATTACTCGCGTGGGACGTAATTTACATCGGCTAACGCTTACGACTTTTTACTTCGTTTTAAACCCCGACGGCATTAAACTCCTTTCCCTTCGATGAAATGGAGAAAACGTGAACGCGTACTGGGATTTGAATTACTATATGGGAATCTAAAATTAAGGATACCTGGAATGCATGGAATACATGGAATCCATAAATATCTTTAAGATTAACGAACCCAAATCGATTTTATTTCAATTGATCATTACAATTTCAATATTCTATCAATATCGCGAATAATGAAAATTAACGAAAATAAAAATAAATTAATGACCTTTTTTTTCCTTTTCGCTTCCTTTTTCCTAAAAATATATTTAAGATATATTTGAAAAATTGAAAGATTTTTCTTATTTTTAAATATTTTTTGAAATTTCTTAAATCGAAAGATTTTGTTTTCAAATTTGTCTCAAATCTTTTTTTTTCTGAGGAAAGAATAAAAAAAAAATTTTAGACGTTTCAAACATGATAAAATTTAGAAAATTCAAATTCATATTCTTTCAATTTTTTAATCGAGCAAATATTCTCGTAAAAACTAATGGTGACAGGCCGATAAATTTGGATAATCCGATTCGAACGAGAGAAAAAAAGAAAAAAGAACGGAATAAAAAGAAATAAATTGTAACTGCGTTAATAAAAACCTTTTTTCCCCCTCTTAATCTCTCTCTCTCTCTCTCTCTTTCTCTCTCTCTCTCTCTCTCTCTCTCTCTCTTTCTCTCTCTCTATCTATCTATCTCTTTCTTTCTCTCTAAACTGAACACATACCTGTGAAAACGACCGATAGAAACGAAACCTCGTTGACGATTCCATACACGCGTTCGTTCGTTCGAAAGGTATTCTCGTTTATCACGAAGTGATTTTCAATGTACTGTTACGAAAAAAAGAGAGAGAGAAAGAGAGAGAGAGAGAGAGAGAGAGAGAGAGAATTGTATGTGTATGCGTGTATGTGTGTACGTGTATGTATGCGTAACGTTATCACGTACCACTTTAGTACATACACGCGTTAGTTTCTTTTTCGCATCATCAACATCTCTCTTTACCCTTTAACCCTTTCCAATCTTCAATCTCTCTCTAGCTTTCTCTCTCTTTCTCTCTCTCTGTCTCTCTTTCTCTATCTATCTATCTATCTATCTATCTATCTATCTATCTCTTTTATTCCTTTTACATCGACAACGAACATAACTTATACTATGGTCAGAAAAAAATGAAAGAAAAACTTGACGCAGCCTATAAAATCAGACTCGATTTTATATAAATCTTCGTCCACGCATTCTTTATTCTACAAGAGTAAAACATTCAAGTATTTTATAAAAGTTTGGAAAAGAGATTTTGAGGGTAGAGAAAAAATAAGAGGGATGAAAAAGGACGAGGGTCGTTCGAACGATACGACTTCGAAAATTCGATCGAAAAGCGTTTCTCCAACCATTTCTCCCTCATTGTTTAGAAGTAAAATCATCGTTATATAATCGTTTAACTTGAAAAGTGACTATTATACGGAGTGCTCCGAGAAACGTATTAAATATAACGATTTTTAAATTTAACGCACGGAAACGAACTTTGATAATAATTGTATCAATTAAATTTTTAATACTGTTATGAAATTAGAATACTGATTGACAATTAATTTAAGAGTAATTATCGAAGTATATTATATATCGTTCTTAAAAGTCATTGAAACAATCTGTTCTTACGATGCATTTTATATTCTCGAAAGGTACTTTTCTATTTTATTTTAATGATCGAAACGATTAATCTACCATCCGGTTTGTTGTCTTTGAAGAAAAACTGCAGAACGTTTCTTACAATGAGGAAATAGAAAGAGAGAAAAAGAGAGAGAGAGAAAGAGAGAGAGAGAGAGAGAGAAAGAGAGAAAGAGAGAGAGAGGGAAAGATAGCTGATAAAATAAATCTCTTTCATCTTTCTTCTTCTTCGGATTATTTCCCCTTTACAAGAACAAGTACTGGAACGATCATCCTAAGACTTCTTTTTTTCATGTTACAGCTTTAAAACTTCATTGAAGAAAATGGGTCGTCAACCTACGTTAAAAAAAAAAAAAAAAAAAAAAAGAAAAAAAGAAAAAAATTCTCGAACAACAAAATTCAATTCTATGAATCAATTCAAATGCGAAAGCAGGATTATGAAACGATATAACGTTAACGGGATAAAAATGATACGATTAAACGTAATACTTAAATACAAACAAACGTACGAGCAAAATAAACGACTGTAAAATGAAATATAATGAAATGGAAAAGATAGCGAGGAGAGAAAAAGAGAAAAAAAAGAAAAAAAGAAAAAAAATAAAAAAAAAAGAAAAAAAGAAAAAAGGAAAAAAAAGAAAAGAAAAAGGAAAAGGATTTTCTTTCTAAGAATAAGTCCGAAAATCGTAGTTTAATATCTACCCTTTTGTATTTTTCTCGTGTATCATGAAGATTACACGTATCTAGAATAACGAGAAAGATTTCACGATGTTCGGTCTCATACGACTCTATAAAAATGTTTTACGAGGGCCATCGACGTTGTTCCTGTTCGACAACCATACTTTTCTTCATACATACCACATAGATACGTATTTGTAGAACACATAGAACGCCTCGACGAACGGGACTGTCGTTTTCCGACTTTTTTACCGGCGGTATTTGCTATAATCAAAGGAACCACTCATAAGACTTCCCCGATATAATAAAGAGCTTTACGACTTGTAAACCCATAACGATCTTGAGAACCTTCCTCTCCCCCTGGCATCACTTTTCTCTTGTTCTCTATCCTTCTCTCTCTCTCTCTCTCTCTCTCTCTCTCTCTCTTTCTCTCTTACTCAAACTTTTTTCTTCTTTCTCTGTCGAAAGGTAGACGATCGTAAAATGATAATTTCATTAAACTCACCACCGTTTTTAGTTTCAAATGATGGTTATTATATTTACAACGTTGATAAAGAGAATAAGTAAACCGTGAAATTTATTTCTAAAGGAAGTGGGGAGAGGGGGAAAAAGAACGAAACAAAACAAAACAAAAAAAACAGGAAAGTTCAATTAATTAAATATTAATGCAATGTATATTATCTTTAATTATTTTTTTCTTTTTACTTTTTTTTTCTTACGTTATTCCTCAGCACAAATTATTGATTTATTAAAACATATTTTTCATTAAAGTAAGATCAATGTTATTATTCGCATTATTCTAATCGGATCATGATAATCAGACAGAAAATTAAAAAGAAGGAAGAGAGAAAATCGTTCAAAAGGAATGGAAAAAGATATACAGAAGAAGGAAGAAGGAAGAGAGAAGAAGGAAGGCTTTCATTTCACCCAAAAGTACCGATTGCAATCTCAACGAAGAATCAAGCCACTCTATCACGATGGAGTCTCTTCTGAACCAGCGTGTAATTTAGCATGAAGATGTTGACTACTCTTTATTTCTTTCTCCCTTTCTCTCTGAGATCTTCTTGCAAATTTAAAAAGTACCAGGCTTTTAAAAAGTTCAAAAAAAAAAAGGATAAGAAACTTTAATGGAATGAAGAAAAGAGAGAGAGAGAGAGAGAGAGAGAGAGAGAGAGAGAGAGAGAGAGAGGGGGAAAAAGAATTAACCTCTGCATTCGTCCTTTTCTGCGATGGAAATTTGAAGTAACAGTGATTTCAGATAAACATGATTAAGGATCTAAAGATAATCGATGTTCTCAGAAAATCGGGAAATAATTACGGATGATAAACCAATGAGAAAATATAAAAGGAAGGAGATCGATGACCATTTAAAAAATTTGTCCACGAATGTATAAATATAAATTAAAATAATTATGTTAAAGACGAACTTTTTTTTGTTCACGAAAAGAATATAAAAAAAAAAAAAAATTGAAAAAAGAAAAAAAAAAAAAGAAAAGAAATTATAAAGAGTAATAGTAATTATAAAAAAGAAAAAAAGAAGAACAAGAAAGAAGAAAAACAAAAAAGAAAAATGAAGAGAAATACACGTGGAAAAAAGAGAATAAAATTTGGTCGATATAGTCGATGCAGACAACGTCAGGAGGATGAGCAATTAGTGTCTTCGTAGATTTAACGTTGAAGCGAGACGTCACGTCCTCGGAAAGCTCTGAGTAAGGATCGATGAGGAAGAGAAGAAGTGGCTGTAACAGTTGTAGAGAAAGGGGAAAAGAGAGGGGGAGGAGGGAGGTGTACGACTCGAAGGGGCACAATTAGCGAGTTAACGCTTAGCTGTGCAAGAAGTGCCGCGAAGGCCTTGGAATAAGTTACGAACCGTGACAGACGTTAAGGTTTTCTCTAGGGGCTCGTAAAGCGTGTCTTGAGAATGTGAGAGAAGGGAAAACGACCTTCTTCCTCTCCTTCTGTATTCTCGAAAATGGATGAATGATTGTGACGTTTCTCCTTCTATTAACGTAAACCTAATGCTAGTTTGTTTGTTCTCCAATTATTTTGGGTAATAGAATATAAAATCGAATTTCGAGACGAAATAAAAAAGAAACTATCATCAAATTAAATTCATTCGATGAGAAATTTATTGAAAAATTGATAAAAAAAAATGATTACGTTTTCTTTTATACTTCGTTATTTTCTCTCCCTCTTTTTTTTTTTTTTTTTTTTTTTTTTTTTGATGAACGAACTTATCCTTGAACACGATATTTCGAAGATACTAATTACTGAACTTACGCAAAGATATAGATCTTCTACGTTTGTTATAATAAAAACTGTTTAACTATACCACATGAAGCAAAAATGTTGAGTTATGTTCGTACAGTACAACAAAAACTGGACTCGTATATACCTAACACGGATATACAAATATGTCCTATCTAACTCGACTACTTTAAATATCTCCATTGTTTTTCATACGGCTCTATACCTACTTGTGTATTTCGTACTTGTCGACTAAAGTCAACAATCATATAAAAAAAAAAGAGAATAAACTCAAGTGTTTCAAACAAATTAAGGACATAGAAAAAAGAAAAGAAAAGAAAGAAAGAGGAAAGAAAAGTAAAAGAAGAAAAAAAAAGAAAAATATTTCATCGACGCACATAATCTCGCTGTCGTAACTTTTTAATAATTTTTGTTAAAATGAAAAAAAAACTGCTTTTTTATATTCCCATAATCCACATTTGTTTAATCTAATTACAAGTGACTTGTATAATACTTGTTTCATAATATCCTCTGTATATTATACGGAGTTACATAATTATAATATAAAATAATTTATATTATAATTCGTTATTTAAGTGAATTGATCTATGATTAACGAAAGTGAAAAAGAGAAAGGATAAAATAGCAATGAACTAATTTTATGAACGATTGAAGATATTATCTTAGGATTTCTAACGCACGGAGAAGATCTACTACCTTTGATTCAATCTTTTTTCCTACCTTTGAGGAGCTATAAGATCATCGATAACTTAAACGAAGTATTCGTAAGAAGGAACGTTACGTTGAGTCTTTTTCGCGGTTGTCCAGATTTACGACGCACTTTCAGTGACCGACATTCTCTCCGCGAAAGAACGTAATCCTACCGAATGGACCTCTCAGGAAGGACGCGGAAGCAAAGAGAAAGAAAGGAAGACCTATGTATTACATGTATGTGTGTGTGTATGTATATATATATATATGTATATATGTATATGCTCCAAGACATTTTAAATTGTGTGCGCGTACTTTGTGAGCTTCTTTCTCTCTTCTTAGAACCATCCCACAATCGCGGACGTGAAGGAGATCGCAACCGCACACACTCTATCTCTTTTCCTCTCTCACTCGAATGCAAGGAATTGCAAGGAGTGCAGCCGGCCTTTAGATCCTTCTTAATGCTCCCCAACCTTCGAGAAAAATCCGAAGACGAAGTCCTCGAACGCGTCGCGAGTGCCGAAACCATCTGAAAAACTTTCCTCAGGAGGTGCTTTCAACGCTACGAAGCTCTTTTATAAACAATGAATGATCTATAAGAAAGATCTAAAGAAAAAGAGAATGAAAGAAAAAGAAAGAAAGAGAGAGAGAGAGAGAGAGAGAGGCAGAAGTGTAAGAGAAAAAAAAACGATGGAAGTGTCTTTAAACTTTGGCAAATCGGATTTTACTATTCGTTCAATTATTTCAGTATTATCTCAATTTATCTTTTTCTCTATTTAAAAATCTAACATTGTTTCAACCAATATTATATTATAATCGAATGTAAACAAAATTCTTAAAAGGAAAAAGAAAAAAAAAATATCTTTCACATTATTTCCGGTTCTTGTTAATATAAACATCCTAGATTAAACGAAAATCTTATAACTATTTACGTAACTGAATGTAATGAAGATCATCCGTGCAATAAATAAAATTTTTCGTTAAACATAAAAAGGAAAGAAAAAAAAGAAAAAGGAAAAAAAAAAACAATATCAATTATTATATGATTTTGATTTACGTATTAAATATCAGTATTGAAATTAATGAATTAATTGTAATCTAAACGAGATTAAAAGTTATTTTAAATAATGAAAATTTTCGTGTGAAAAAAAAAAAGGACGAAAAGATTGCAACTTTATTCGATTTTTATATACGAAGGGTTCGTATTCAGTAAAGCTTTTAATTCTACTCGTCTCGCGATATGACACGTCCGACCATTTTAGAACCGATAATCCTACAGTATGAGAAGTGTCCGCAACGACGAGAGGAGCGGATGTAGGACGACAAAGGGCCAACGCCACCAAGGGATCGAGATTAGTTTGTCTAAACTGTCGGACATCTGTCGCAGTAACTCCCGTAATACCTCCATCGTCGTAACGTAATGGAGAGTAGAAGGATGAAGGCTGACGATAGTGGTAGCGATGGTGATGCTGATGGTGATGGTGGCGATGCGGTGGGCCGGAGAAAACGTCGACCTACCGCAGCGTAACTCCTCGCTCATCCTACACGAAATCGAAGTAACCGCATATCCCGCATGCGGTTCTCCAAGATAACATTTCCTTTTCTAACATCTTACATTATTTATCCTTCATTTCATTTTAACTCAGCATCTCATCGATAATCATATAATTTTGTCTGAAAATCGATTTATTTGTTTTATCTATATAAAGTGTTCCAACGTAAGATTCTAAACGTTCGATATAACTCACTTATATTATTTATCCTTCATTTCATTTTAACTCAATATCTCATAGATAATCATATAATTTTGTCTAAAAATCGATTTATTTGTTTTATCTATATAAACTTTTCCATCGTAAGATTCTAAACGTTCGATATAACTCACTTCTATGTATTTGAATTTTTAATAATGTTTTAATAATGCTTTCAGAATGTTTTTATTTTTCTCTTTACTCTAACTCCCGTCGTTAAAAATAATATAATTTTATATAAAAGTCAACTACGTTTATATTTATATTTATATCTTATTTTCCTTTTCTTTTTTTTTTTTATTCTTTTTTTCTAAAATTCTAATCGTCCAATATACAAAATATACAGACCAAATGCTGAATTGAATTTTAATAATCAATTATCATTTTCCGAGACTTTTTGTAGTTATGCTTGTAATTTTACAATTTCAATAAAATATTAGCCTAAAAAGTTTCGAAAATGAATAATTGACTTTTTATTTCATCTACGATCTCTTTTGACCTACCTAGGAACTTTTTGTTCACCCTGTATTACAATGTTTAAATATTAAAATAATTTTTAGAAGATCAAGAAATTATTTTCTCTATCGCATAAGAATTGTGTAATTTTTTTTTAATTTGTCATCGTCAACGTAATTATATATATATATATATATATATATATATATATATATAATTTTTCTTTTTAATAATAGATTAATAATCATTCGATATAATTGAATTTTGAGAAAGGAAATAATTTTTCAAGAAAATCAGAAGAATTTTTGAGATTTCTTTCTTTCAACTTCTTTTAATCGTTACGAAAATAAATTCAACTTAAGTAAAAAAAGCACCGACGAATTTTGAGTTTATCATTAAATTAATCTAATCTATTGTTCTTGAACAAAAAAAAAAAGAAAAAGAAGAAAAATAATGCAATTCTAATCAGTATACGAAGAGCAGCTTCGTGACCACGATGCCATCCGTGCACATTGACGAACTCAACTGTAAATAGACGGTACACCGAGATAGAGAACATTGACCTGGATGCGCGTGTAAATTATCGAGAAATTCGATCACACGATTACGGCAAACTCGCTGCAAGGTTGTGCGTCAATATTGAAGTGAGATGGAGGAAGGGAGAGAGAAAGAGAGAAAGAGAGAAAGAGAGAGAGAGAGAGAGAGAAAGAGAGAGAGAGAGAGAGAGAGGTAGTAGCAGTAGAGAGATAGACGTACGTGGTAATCACGATAACATGAATGTTCTGGCTACGGGCCAGTGAATTTCAACGAGAGATAAGCGATTAAAGGCCAACGTCAAGCAATTTTTCCAAAATTTCATACCATCTGTTCAATCAAGAAAAGGATTAGTTTCATTGATTTTTTTCGATTAATTATAACATGCCTAAACATCCAATAATAATTAACTCTTTATCGTCTACAACACCACTTATCGTATAATAAGCTAAGCACTTATGTTTCTGTAATTTTTCCAAATTTTCTTATATTTTGCAACCTCAAAATTAATTGCTATTTCATATTCGAAATTTATCATATTTTTTTTTTCAATTACAAATTATATTTTCATATTTTATTGTCGGTATAGTATAATAATTATACTATCATTATATTAGTTTTCACGTTATATTATTTTTATGTATACAAAACAAATTGATTTATTTTAATATTGATAACAAAAAATATTTTTTGTTTCCTCATCTTTTTTTCCTTCTAATCTATTTAGATTAATTAGAAATTTCCTAATCCACTTCTCATGATAATATAATCAAAACGATCTTGTAAAAAGTTTTTTTTTTTTTTTTTTTTTTTTTTTTAACGAGATATAAACTTTTTAACGAATTTTAGACAAAAAAATAGAAAAATAAAAGTTTCAAACTTCGTATTCACAATTCTAACGACATTAATGTGTAAAAAAATCTTTTGGTGTCAGATCCTTAACCACCCTTACCGTGTATTTGCGTGGAATAGATAGATGTACCAGGTTTCCCATCGTTGGTACTAAGGTTCCTCCGTCATAAATCTCTTGATCGTAAATCCTGAGACGTCTATATTTTCTAACGTCGTTAGAACTTGCCCCTCGTTGTCGTGAATTATCATATATTTGTCCGGCATACATGCTTTATCCGTAAGTACACGTCGCGTGTAACGTGACTTATCGTTATTAAAAAGGAGCAAGAAAAGAAAGAGCAAAAAAAAGTAAGAGAGAGAGAGAGAGAGAGAGAGAGAGAGAGAGAGAGAGAGAGAGAAGAGAGAGAGACAGAAACATTGCCATGGTCAGAAGAAAGATTCAATTCTCCCCTTTGATATTTATGAACCGTTTCTCATTGCGATTACGCGTAAATATCCTGCGAATGTTTATTATCTCGTACTATAATATCTTCGCAACCTATTTATCTCTTTCTGTCTATCCTTCACATATATATATATATATATATATATATATATATATATATATATATATATACACATATACATACCTATAAATTTATATTTCAAAACGTCATATAATATAATACACGATAATAAACGTCGAATATTATTGTGTGAATCTTTCAATTTGTATTAATTAATTATTTATAAAAAAAAAAAAAAAAGAAAAAAGAAAAAAGAAAAACATATATATATATATATTTTTTTTTAATTAATTAAAAATCAAAGAGCAAAAGAGTAAAGCGAGTATATCCATTGGGATAACAAATGCAACAAGTTGCATTTTCTGATATCTACGTGCTACGTGAATATATCTAAAATCGTAGAAATTTTATTCTACGAATAGAGACGTATTATTTCGTTTAATTTTCATTTAAATCGAACAGTACAATATTAAAAGCAATAAATTTTCGTTTTGTAAGTATACGAGAGGAGACATTTCCTATTTCTTCCAGAAGAAAGTTATCGGGACGATTATCAAAGCACTTGTCGTGTTTTATAGAAATTTTCAAGACACTCCCACCGATCTAGAAGAGCCGATTGAGAAAAGACTCCACTCGTAAATGGAGCATTTCGTTATGAGTTTCTTGGTGTGCGTTGGTCATCGTGGAAAAGCTATAAGGAGACTCCACCTCTTTTCGTGCGAAAATATCTTCGAGAAACGATCTTCTTCTTCGTCGAAAGTTTACCGGCAATATCTTCCAAGGAAAAGCATCTTAATAATACTTCTTTCTATTCTCTCTCTCACTCTCTCTCTCTCCCTCTCACTCTCTCACTCTCTCTCTCTTTCTCGTTCTCTTTCTAAAAAAGTTACATCAAATTTATTACTCACAGTTTTGTGATTTTTCGAGCTTTTTTTATCGACAAGCAATATCGTCGTTTCTGAGAAATATTGTTAAACCGATTTATATTATGAGATAATAAATTATTAAAAGTGTACTTTAACAATGTAAGTATATTAAAATATTATATCGTGCGCGCATCTGTCAAGCCGAGGAAAAAAAAATCCCTGGTAATAAAAATGATTTCTTTTTCTTTTTTTCTTTTTCTTTTTTCTTTTTTCTTTTTTCTTTTCTCCTAGTCTGTCTTTCTTTTAATGTCTTTCCTTTAATCATTCATCAGACATTACAAGTGAAAACTTATAAATTTAATGAAATCTTCTTGATTGCATACATAGGAAAATTAATTAATATCCGTCGGATTAAGTTTGAATAATTCTCTTGAGATAATTCCCATAGTTCGATTATTCTTACGTTTCTCGATCAGTACGTGCTCGAATTAATGTAATCGTGAATATAATGCGAACATACATATAAATTTATAATAATAATATCGGTTAAAGCTCTCTCTATATCTCGCTAACTATCTGTCTATTTGTATTGTTATTATGATGAATTAACTCGTTATCATTAATCCATGGAACGAGTTCGAACCAACGTTAATATCATTTCTATTCATCAACCAATCCCTCATTATTTATATTATATTACTATAATATATACATATTGCAGAAATACATACGTACATATACGTTAAAAATCCTTAAGGAAAAATTTTTCATCGAACGATCGAATTTAGTCAGGCAGCCGTGCAATTTCGCATATAATCGCAACGGCAATTTCTTGTATCCTAGTTGGAGTGAGGCATTCATAGCGAGACAGCTGCTCTCCACGATCATGATCGAAATACGATTTTTCAAGAGGGTGGATCTCGCACATGGCGCGCGAGATCTTTTTTGTACGAATCATAGAAGCCAATTTCTTTCCACTCACCCAGCTGCTACTACTACTGCTACTGCTACTGTTACTGCTGCGTTGATGCTGGTGCTGGTG